CTGAAGCCATCATGGAAACCCCGGAAGCTGGCCTTCGTCTTAATCCTCATACAGGCTTGAATTCATGATGTGCCTGTGTCACCGTATGTTGCAATCATTGACTTTCCCTTTCCGACACTTGCAGCACACCCAAGGGACTTAGCCGATCAAACTCAAGATTGAAAAGAGTGGCGTCTGGGCACAATGACTGGTTCACTGCCTCAGCCTCGAGCATCCATGGACGGTCGGCAGGTGAATCCAGCGGTTATTCCAGTCAGCGACGCAGGTGACACAAGCGATCATCCGCAATCAAGACGATGATTGGTGTGAAGTGGGCCTTTGATAAGCACAGGCGGTCTTATCTAACCAACATTACAGGAGGTCCAAGGGCGATGGTAATGTATATGTATGGGTAAGTTAATTCTTGGTAAGACCCCTTCCCGGAGGAGCAGGAGTCAGCCGAGCACTTCCAAGGACTGGGTTCTCCGAGCACGCGACTCCGGGTTGCCTGGGTGCCGAAACGCGCGCTGCCTACCTTGTTAATGGTGGCGGGTAGTAGTTGGTTACATTCCAGTCAGGTCAGGGCCAGGTACGTACCTGCAGTCCAGGGTCGGTCGCTCTAATTCCGCAACAAGGAGAGCTGATTGAACTGAATCGAGCTGGCTGAGGCGGGTAAGCTTGAGGAGCTTGTATGCAGGGTCATTTGATCACACAACAGATAGCACAAGAGCTTTAGATTAACAATGATCGTGAAGACGGTCATTCAGAGAATCAAATTATGTCATTAACAATGTCAGTGTAGCACCTACCTAGTTGTTACTCGCACAAGTTGGTTAATTGATTGGGGGGGGGGTGTGGCTGACCTATTCTTGAGTCACCCACCGCCCCCTCTCCCCTCAGGCTCAAAGGGCAGGCTGCCGGCAACAGGTTGGCTCCAAGGGTACCTCCTCGTCACCCACCCGCCAGCGGGAAGCGCATGTATCTTCCCTCTAGTAGGTTAACTATTACTCAAGTAGGTAACGAGGGATGCAAGCTGCGCCCCAGTTCGCCTCATTATAGTTATTCTTGATATCTCAGATATTCTAACTAGCAGAATGGAGTTTCCGTACTCATGAACAGGGTATGAATAGGCAGACAAGTAGAACCTATCAGCCTCTCTTACGTATACCCTCGGGATATTTTAACGTTCCCCGTCCACGATAGGCTGGGGGATATCCCGTTTACCGCCGTACTGTACCTCCCATACGCCAGTGTAGAGTAAGTGAGAGAGACTGAGGTGAGTGAGTAGGTAGTACGGAGTAAGGTAAACTGTAAACCGCAAACTGTAAACTTGAGGTAAAGGCAAACTTACCTTGTTTGGTTTCCTTCCAGTTTACCCCAGAATCCGTTCCTAACCTTGGAGCTCGCGCTAATCACCGGGGCCCGATCGACACTAAAAACCGAGGGAACCAACTGAATCTGCTGTGTCATTCGGTCACTCATTGTAAGCATTGTAAACATCGTAATCATTGTAATCATTGTAAATTACCGTATGCCGGTTGCATCATCACCTGCTGCCCTTGCCTCTTGTTAGGATAAGCAGTCCCCAATCTCCACCTCCATCCGCCCTTCTCCTCATCTCCTCGCTCTCCCTCTTCTTAATCAACTCCATCCTCCGCCCTCCCTTCCATTCCTCCATCATCTTTATCTTTGTCAACCTTCCACCTGTCTCCCTTTTCCCTTTTCCATTTTCCATCTCTCATTCCTTCCGTCTTTCCTCCCCCACATCCTCCATCATCACTTCCCTCCTTTACACTGCCCTGAGCTTCCATTTTCCCCCATACACTCATCATGAAAGGCATCCTCGGCCTTTCCGTGCTCCCGCTGCTGGCGGCTGCATCGCCTGTCTTTGTTGATTCCATCCACAATGGAGCCGCTCCCATTCTCTCTGCATCCAACGCAAAGGAGGTTCCTGATTCATACATTATTGTTTTCAAGAAGCACGTCACTTCGGTCTCAGCCGCCGCTCACCACAGCTGGGTGCAGGACATCCACTCCTCTCAAAGCCAAAGCCAGCGGACTGAACTGAAGAAGCGGTCTCTCTTTGACTTTGGTGAGGAGGTCTATCTTGGTCTGAAGAACACTTTTGACATCGGTGGCTCTGTGGTTGGCTACAGTGGCCACTTCCACGAGGATGTTATCGAGCAGGTCCGCATGCATCCTGATGTAAGTTCTTTGCCGCCTCTGGCGTCTCTACCATCCCTATATCAATCCTTACTAATTGACTATGTGTAAACAGGTCGCGTACATCGAGAGAGACTCCGAGGTTCACACCATGGAGGTGAACACTGAGAAGAACGCACCCTGGGGATTGGCCCGTATCTCCCACCGTGATAGCCTCACCTTTGGCACGTTCAACAAGTACTTGTACGACTCTGAGGGCGGCGAGGGCGTTGATGCCTACACCATTGATACCGGTATCAACGTTGACCATGAGGACTTCGGGGGCCGTGCCACTTGGGGCGCGACAATCCCTGACAACGACGAGGACCTAGACGGCAATGGTCACGGAACTCACTGCTCTGGTACTATCGCCGGTAGTAAGTACGGTGTGGCCAAGAAGGCCAACCTCTATGCTGTCAAGGTCCTGAGATCTAGCGGCTCTGGTACGATGTCCGACGTCGTTCGGGGTGTCGAGTGGGCCGTTGAGTCCCACCTGAAGAAGGCCAAGGATGCTAAGGCCGGTAAGGTCAAGGGTTTCAAGGGTAGTGTTGCCAACATGAGTCTGGGTGGTGGCAAGTCCAAGACCCTCGAGGATGCTGTCAACGCTGGTGTTGAGGCCGGCCTTCACTTTGCCGTTGCCGCAGGCAACGACAACGCTGACGCTTGCAACTACTCTCCCGCTGCTGCTGAGAATGCCATCACTGTCGGTGCTTCGACCCTCGGCGATGAGCGTGCTTATTTCTCCAACTATGGCAAGTGTACCGACATCTTCGCTCCTGGTCTTAACATCCTGTCCACCTGGATTGGCAGCAAGCACGCTACCAACACCATCTCTGGTACCTCCATGGCTTCTCCTCACATCTGCGGTCTCTTGGCCTACTTCGTCTCCCTTCAGCCTGATGCCGACTCTGCTTTCGCTGCTGGCGAGCTCACTCCTGCCAAGCTCAAGAAGGATTTGATCTCCATTGCTACCAAGGGTGCTCTTACTGACATTCCCTCGGATACCCCTAACGTAAGTTGACCGCGTTCCCCATATTCTGGAAGTAATGGTGACTGATGAATCTTTAGCTCCTCGCCTGGAACGGCGGTGGCTCCAGCAACTACACCGACATCGTTGCCAACGGTGGCTACAAGGTCTCCACCATCAAGGACCGCTTCGAGAACCTGGTTGACAAGGCTGAGAAGATGCTCTCTGAGGAGCTTGGCGCTATCTACAGCGAGATCCAGGATGCTGTCATTGCATAGATTTGAGATGTTTTGTTTTACAGACCTAGTTTGAGTTTTTGACGTCAAGACAAGACAGCTTGAGATCAAGACAAGAGCAGGTCGGACATTGGCGCTGGCTTTTTCTATCCTATTGCTTTGGAGTTGATGCATTGAGTGCGTCAATTGTACCATCCTGATGTTATTCGCCCGTCTGACCTATCCTTATGGTAGTATACATGTCGCAAAGAACCTATGACGCCTTGATTTAGAATTTTTGGGTGCATTTACCAGATTGTCAATTTTGTTACGATTACTAGAGGAATGGTATCTTGCTGATGAAGATCAGGCAATGTAGTTTTGGTATGAGTACAACAAACAGTCTATTTCTTCCACAGTACTCCGTATGCATCTTGTGTTGGGACTTCTTGACGAGAGTGGAGCTTATCACATGTTGCGTACGGAGCAGATCGCTTCGGTTCCTCATCTACGATAACTCGATAAGCAATTGAGTTCTTTACAGTACTGTACGTACATACCTTACGAAACTACGCTGAGTGAGCAAGTGACTTCGACCTTGCTCGTGCGCTTTGATTGAAGTTTACAACTGCATTGATATACGTGCTTCCCCGGTAGCTCAATGCCCATCCACAACTCCTGGTTTGTGTTGCCTGTACTATATAGTACTGTGCAAAGCACCCAAGGTCAGGTCCTACTCGTACTGTACGTAAGGTATCCTCCTGATAAGCCCCGACTCCACTTCTCCATCCAAAATCATCCACCTGAGACCCCCCCACCCCGCCTCAAATATGTTCTGTAAACAAGTCAATGTCACCTGCACCTCCATCCAAACCAACGAATAACCTCGCGGTCGCATCTTCGCACCCTACAACTATCGATTCCCGGCCCAGATGCTGGTTCCATATCTTCGTACCTGATAGTAGCCATGCCCCCTATACCGCCCGAGCATAGAATCCATCCACTCTATAGTTAAATTAGTTAGTTATACAGTGCAGTGCACAGGAAGCAGCCACCACCTTGGTTGGCCCTGACTACGTATGGAGATCGCCCGAGGTAGTACTGGAGTACCGGGTCGCCACGAACCTGTGCCCAGGAACGTTATGCTTGACTTTCCTCACCGTGATAGCTACTAAGCTTAACTCTGGCTGAATTATGCATGTCATGATGAGGGGCTAAGGGGGGGAAAGCGTGATGAGGAAGATCGACGGGCCTCGGACATCACCCCCTCTCTCCTCTCCCCTCTTCCCTCTCTCTTCCCTTCCCGCGTGATGGTATCATCAGGACGGACCGGTCAGGCACCGAGAGAAAGACAGTAAGCAGGCTACATGCTAGTAATTAATGTACTGAGTAATTCGGAGGCATTCGGACTGTTCACCGCCCCGCTGGGACGTCGCCGGAAGATCGGCTGTGAGATTACTCAATCCTCGCATTGGTGGTGGATGACATTCCTGTCCCGTGGAGGAGTGACATCATCTTCTGCGTTAGCTGTAGCATCTGCTTCGGGGGTGTTTTTGCGTGCGGGTGAGGGGTGTGTTCTTGCTGAAGGTAGTTTGCTTGGGTTTTCACTGTGGTACTGTGTTACGGGGGAGTTTGAGCCTTTGGACATTTGAAATTCGATGATGATAGAAGAGTGAATGATGGCTGTTATATCTATGCATGCATGCATGAAAAGAGAACACACCCCGTCCATGCTCTGCAGGTGAAGTGGATGTAAATCACAGATAGAAATATGCTGCTCCATGCCTATATCGTCCGTCCAATGCGCCTCGCTATGCCGGTTGTAAGAAAGAAAAAAAAATGAAGAAAGAAAATAAGGCAGAAAGAACCCCAATGTTCCAAGCACCAAATCCAGGAGGCGAGAGTACAATGTCAGTACTAGAGAGACCGTGAGGAAAGGTCTGGCAAAATTGCCCGTCGCAGAGCCGCAATGCGCAGGAGGGCTCCGGTTAGGAGGTCCTCCTAATACTTGCTTGCTTCATCATCATCCTCCTCCTCACTGCCTGTCTCCTGATCCTCGTCATCCACATCCAGATCTTCGTCGGAGTCGCTGCCCCCGAACACGTCATCGTCGACATCGCTCTCCGCCCAGAAGTCGGAGTCGTCCTTCTCGATGGCTCTAGCCGTCGAGGTTGTGTGGTGGGTGGGCATGACAAATCCCTCGGGGATGTCCTTCTTCGAATCTTCCACGTGCTGACGGACGATCGATTTGTAGTGCTCGGGGTTCTTGCGGAGCATCACGGAGGCGTCCACGTTGGCGGGCGAGGAGATCTCTGCGTCGTCGAGCAGCGAGAGGATGGATATGAGGACGGATTCGACTCGCTGAGCTGGCGACCACCGCTCCGAGGCTAGTTCGCCTGACATTTCATCCTCCCCGGGTGCGTGGAGGATGGAGATGCACAGTTTGCCGTCTTTGTAGATGTTCGGATGATAGAGGGGACGGAGAAACCGGAATTCTGTGTGGTGATAATAGCATCAGGTTAGTCGATTTGCGCATTCCCAGTGTAAGGAAGGGAGGGAGGCGCAAGGCGCTTATGGCCCAGGCGTAACGAACACGGGCGCACCAACCTGGAGGAGAATAAGGGTAGTTGCTCGGGAACTTCATCGAGGCCTTGAAGTATCCGCCATAATAGAGCGAGTCTGGGTTGAGGACGATCAGACCCACGTTCCAGTTGAGAATGTTCTGTTCATCGATCTGGAAGCGGAAGTCGGTCAGTATCCTTCACGATAAGGGGCCGGTGGTCCGTATTTAGGTGAATAATCCGCGACGTGTCGATCTAGACAAGGGATGCAAGGAAGCGTACCTCGATATTAACCCATGGCTCCTGCGACAACGACTTGTACTCGTTCATCAAGATGCGTTCCACCATGGTGAGCGACGGAAAGGGAGAGGTGGCGGGCGAGAAGGAGCCACAAATTCAAGGGGTACAAAATGAAGATACAGATCTTAAGAAGCGAAATAGAGTAATGGAGAGTACAGACAGACCGCTTGCTCCAAAGTCTGAAGATTAGATAGATAGGCGGTGGTGGTGGTAGGGACTCGATCTGGTGAGGGGAGACAAGTTGGAGTGAGGGTCATTGTCCGGCAAGAGACGCCGCTCGATGAAAGAGGCCGCTAGTCCCGCTGTGGCAATCCATGCTATCCCACGCGCAACGGAAGGTCCCGGGGAGGTGGCGTGCCCGATTCCCTCATCACTTCTTGGAAATCGGATGAAATCTCTCCGCAGAGTTTTTGCTGCCATGAGCCACCTCGATCTAGCGAAACCTACCTTCTACCTACTCGAAGTAATACCCGAACAAGTAGGCGGGTTCAACGCACCCGATCCTCGAGGCAATCCGGCTGTTCTCAAGCACTGATAAGATTACAAGTCGGAAGGGTCTTCGAGTCAGCTTAGTCAGGCACCAAAGGTGCTAGGAGGGAAAGACACCTCAGGGCGGCCACTCACAGTGTAGGAACGGATGAGAAATTACTGACGTTCATTGGTTTTCATAGCTTAAGAGGAGAACAAACAGTGGGGGCTCGAGAGGGGGAAAGGCAGCCCTTCGAGTGGGGAAAAGTCGCTGTAGTCTTATTTAGGACTACTTTGGACCAGCTGGCTCAGTTATCATCGTGCTCGTGATATCATTACGGCATAGACCCCAGCAATGCCGGTGAAGTCGTCTTACTCAGGCGGAAATCTGGAGGATAACCGACGGACTTCCTAAGGACTAACCGGAAGGGCTCCTGGAGGGACAAAACATGCCACTGAGTCAAAAAGGCACAAATCCTCTTCCAGCCGCCTTGCGCTGCTGCTGCTGCTGCTGCTGCTGCTGCTGCTCGCTGCTTATCTCTCGGATGATAAAGAAGGGCGCCCCATCAGACTCAGATTACGAAATCAGCTAACTATCCCATTTTCAGACGCCGACGCCTGTCAAGTGATGACCTTCCCAGACCTTGACTCACAGCTCCAAGCGAAATTTGATAACAGCCAAGCGCGCATGACGAATCAACCGCGTCAATTGCAACAAAAAGGTCAAAGGGTCGAGTTTTTCAGTCGAGTCGGTGTGACTGGCAAGGGGTATGCAGGATGCACGGACAGCCCGACAGTCCTCGCATTTCCCTATCTTCAAGCCCCTCCCATTCCTCCATTTTCTATGAGAATTTAACATCGATGAAAAGTCAAGAAGAGGTCTGTGGGTTAGGAAGTTCGAGACCATGTTCTTCGTAGCTTTTCTCGACAATAGGAAAAATCTAGAGCCTGTCGACTGCGGAACGAACCCTAGAGTTCTCACAAATCTGGGGACCTCTGCGCTAAGACTCCAAGAGAAAGCGAAGATGAAATCCTTTAAGATCACATCTGGCAGAGTGCATCCACCAGCCAGAAAGAGGTGGTTAACTTGAAGTGATTTGATCTGATCTGTGATACATCAATTCCACTGGACGCATCGGGACTGCAAGCATCTGATAATGACTTGAATCATAATAAGAGAGAGGGAGGATAAAAAAAAAAAAAAAAAAAAAAAAAAAAAAAAAAAAAAGCGATCCTGCGGCAAGTCTGCATACTTTTGGCCATGTCTTGCGTGCAATGTCAGCATTGCGTGAAGGGCGGATGGAAGGTTGACCATGGATCCAGAAGAGCCATAAAGAGTCTCAAAAATATAGTATCTATTCTGGCGAATACCGAGCTATCGTTGGTGAAACACCACTAGTAGAGTTGGGTGTAACGGCAGTGATACTAAATCACTTTTGTCGCAACGTGGGAAGCCTGGAAAGCAATCGGATTAGTTTACTGGAGGTCTGGAATATTCGTTGCGGGCGGGAGAAAAAAGCCTCCACTGCTATTATTCTATTTTTTCCAGGGCAAGTTAGAGGCTGACTAGGGGTAGCAGACTAACGAGTCTTAACGAACTAGTAGTCGAGTAGGTTAGCTGGCGGACTGCTGTGTAGCCTGCCGGGCTGTTCTCCACGGGCTGTCCCACTCGCTCGGCGTCCGCCTGCTGCTCGTCATCGCCGCATTTCTGTCTTCCTGGTCTTCCACCCTTCCTCTCTTTCCCCCTCCCAGTTTCTCTCTCTCTCTCTCTCTCTCGCTCCACCTTCACTCCCTACCCTCGTCTCCTCTCACCTGCAACAACCTATATTATCGCCGAGGTCGTGCTATGTTGCCAACCTCCTCGCGATCATCGCCGCTGTATAATTCCGCCCGTGCCTAACCGTTGCTCTGGTGGAAAAGTCGACTACATCGCTTTTCTCCGCCTTCCCGTTCGGCGATGCTAGGCTTGTCCTGCATCTATATGCCGTGACGTTGTCTCTCTAGCCACTATACTGGACGCCTTCTTGTCTAACAATTGCTGGCTAGGCTTATCCAGTCTATATCTCAAAATCAGCACATAAGCGCATGATCTCTGCAGCTCCTCTGCCTCGACTGTTCTTCGTCTACCAATAATGGGGGTGGAATGCCATGGCCCTATCTGGGCCGGTGATGACCTCTCTCGTTGCTTCCAACGCAAGTACGTTGAATTTATCCAGTCTGTGTAGGGCGCTGCGCCAGGAAATGAACTAACAAACCACAATTCTAGCTACCTACAAGTGATTTTCCCACTCACGGCCTGCGGGCTCTCTCTAATTTTCATCGTGCTCCGCGTTGCATACGGCTATTTATTTTCTCGGAGAGGGGTTTCATACAAGATCTTGGTGAACAATGAAGAAGATGAGGATACGACAAACACGGCTATTGGGGACGATGAGGAAGGGGAAACAGATCCGATGCTGAGTAAAGCGACGCAGAGCGAGGTGCCTCACTTCGAAGTGGACCGCCCACAGGGCGAGCTTGCCGTTATATCTCTGGAAATACTCGCGCTTGCGGGAGAAGTGGCCGTATTTGTCGCGGTTCTATCTACAGATGCTTGGGGTCGTCAGGGCTCTCTCCCAGCCATTGCGAAGCTAGTTTCATGGTCCTACATATTATTCCTGGCATTGGTCCGCCTGCTGCTCTCGACGCTGGACCTCCACTCTTCTCCCCGGCTCTGGAACCATACTGCGGCTTTATATGGGCTGCAATGGCTGTTCACGGTCTTCATTTTCCGATCTGCCGTCATCCATCCACTTTCCAAGCGCGCCTTGACCTTCAGCTCGATTGAGTTCGTCTTGTCAACCCTCCTTTTGCTCGTTGCAGTGACCACCCGCAGAGGGAACAAGTCTGTGCTCGTTTCGCACGAAGATGGTCTGGAGCCCGCAAAACATCCCACGGCCAGCTTGCTTTCGCTTGCCACCTTCGGTTGGCTGGACCCCTTGATCCTCAAAGGTTACAGGCAGCCCCTGGAGCTTGACGATGTCTGGGATTTGACTGCGTCTCAAAAAGCCGCTACTGTGCTGGAGGACTTCCGACGCAGGCATTATCAAGGTGCTCTCTGGTGGAAGTTGGCCCGCCACTTCTACGGTACGCTTCTTTACCAGGGCGCCTGGACGATCTTCTCAAACTGCTTCACGTATTTGCCCACTATCTTGCTTAGGGCGATCCTTCAATATGTCGAGGATCCGCGGTCGACCACAGCAAATGCAGCCTGGCTATACGCCATCCTTCTGTTCTGCTCCGGAGCTATTCAAGGTATTGCTGACGGACAAGCCCTCTGGATCGGACGTAAACTTGGCGTCAAAGTCCGTGCTATCATCATTGGCGAGATCTACGCCAAGGCTTTGCGGAGAAAGGCTGGCTCGACTGTCGAGACCGCCCCCAAGAAGGCTTCTGAGACGGATGACGACAAGAAAAAGAAGGGCGGTCTGTTCTCCTTTGGTCGCAAGAACAAGAAGAAGGCGACTACCGACCCTGAAACGAACGGCACCCCAGCGAAAGATTCCAAGGAAGGTGACGAAAAGCAATTGGCCAACGTTGGTACTATCATCAATCTCATGGCCATCGACTCGTTCAAGGTTAGCGAGGTTGGCGCCTACCTTCACTTTCTCTGGGCCAGTGTGCCTACTCAGATTATCATCGCTGTCACCCTTCTCTATCGTCTACTGGGCTTGAGTTCCTTTGCTGGAATAGTGATCATGGTGCTCATGCTACCTGTGAACCTCATCATTGCGAAGCAGTTCTCAAAGGTTCAGAAACAGATCCTGAAAGGAACCGATGCTCGTATCCATAGCACAAATGAGATTCTGCAAAATATTCGGATCATCAAATATTTTGCGTGGGAGCAGCGTTTCCAGGATATTGTCAACGAAAAGCGCAAGACCGAATTGAAGGCTCTCCGATTCCGGTACATCATCTGGTCTTCAGCAGCTACCGTTTGGTACGGCACGCCAATTTTGATCACATTTGCCTCTTTCTTCCTGTATACGGTGGTGGAAAAGAAACAGTTGACACCCTCAATCGCGTTCCCCGCATTGTCGATGTTCTCTCTGCTCCGTGTGCCTTTGGATCAGCTAGCAGATATGGTGGCACACGTGCAGGAATCCAAAGTCTCGCTCGATCGTGTGGATGAATATCTCAATGAGGACGAGACTGAAAAGTATCGTCTGCTTGATCACGAGGAATCACCTGAACAGCCGTCCAAGATCGCACTGGAGAAGGCCACTCTCAGTTGGGGTGCCTCCAAGACGGGATACTCCGATGACCCATCGGATGACGCCAAGGACAATTTCCGCCTGATCAACATGGATGTGTCATTCAAGGTCGGCAAGCTGAACGTTATCACTGGCGCTACTGGATCTGGAAAGACCTCTTTGCTTATGGCTCTGTTGGGTGAGATGAAACTTCTGGAAGGAAGGGTCTATCTCCCTGGCGGCACTGCGAATCGCGCGGAACTTCCTGTGGATCCGCAGACGGGTCTCATCGAGAGTGTTGCGTACTGCGCACAGGAAGCCTGGCTTGTGAACGCTACTGTAAAGGATAACATTGTGTTTGCATCTCCGTTCGACCAACGCCGGTACAATGCTGTGATCAAGGCATGTGCTTTGGAAAGAGATCTCCAGATTCTCGACGCCGGTGATCAGACTCTCGTGGGCGAAAAGGGCATCAGCTTGTCAGGCGGTCAAAAGCAGCGTATCTCCCTCGCCCGTGCTGTCTACAGCAGAGCTCGCCATTTGCTCTTGGATGATTGTTTGAGTGCCGTGGACTCGCACACCGCCAAGCATATCTTCCGTCAGGCCTTGACTGGCCCTCTTATGATGAACCGATCCTGCATTCTTGTGACGCACAACGTCGCTCTTACGGTCCCTCAAGCCGATCATGTGCTTGTCCTCAACAACGGTAAAATAGCGGCACAGGGTCCTCCGGATGAGGTGGCTGCCTCGGGTGCCTTGGGTGATGAGCTCCTCAAGTCTCGGCCGACATCCAGGGCTAGCACTCCGCGTCTTTCTCGTAGACCCTCGGATGCCGAGGAACAACAAGACGAGAACCACGCGAATGGCTCGGCAGTCAATGACACCACCGCGAAGATTTCAGACGGGAAAGATGACCCGTCCAAACTCAGTGAGTCCAAAACGACGGGTAGCATCAAATTGTCGACGATCAAAATGTATCTGCTTTCAATGGGCTCTTGGTCCTACTGGCTTGTTGCTGTTCTAGTGTTCTGTCTGCAACAGTTAGGATCGGTCTCTACCAACATCTGGATCAGACAATGGGCGAACTCGTATCAAACCCAGGGCGCTAGACAGGAGGATGCTGGCGATTATGCGGCAGTGGCCAATTTCAAAATGCCCTCGTTCAATGCTGGCGGTGTCCCCCGTACCTCGGTCTTCAGCGCACCCCAATTCAGCACCCGCAAGAATGATGGGGCTGACAACGATGTGAACATCACGTACTACCTTGGTGTTTACGCGCTGTTGGGTCTTTCTTTTGTCCTAATCTCCCTGCTCAGAGAAGCCGTTCTTTTCTGGGGCTCTCTGCATGCTTCGTTCACCATCCATCAACGTCTCCTGAGATCTGTGATTCATGCTAAGTTCAAGTTCTTTGACTCGACCCCTCTCGGCCAATTGATGAACCGCTTCTCCAAGGATGTCGAGGCTGTTGACCAGGAAGTTGCTCCTGTCGCAATTGGCATGCTTCACAGTCTCGCATCTGTCATCATGATCGTGATCCTGATCTCAGTCATCACCCCCGGCTTCTTGATCGCTGGCATCTTCATCACGCTGATCTATGTCGCTCTTGGTGCTGTCTACGTGAACTCTTCTCGGGATCTGAAAAGACTGGAATCTGTACAGAGAAGCCCGCTGTATCAGCAGTTCGGCGAGACCTTGAATGGAATTGTGACCATCCGTGCCTATGGTGACGGACCGCGGTTCATTGTTGATAACCATCGTCGGATCAATGCCTACAACCGACCTCATATCTATCTCTGGGCTAGCAACCGCTGGCTTGCGCTGCGCGTTGACGTCACTGGAGCTCTGGTTTCTTTCTTCACGGCTATCTTCGTTCTCGCGAATGTTGGAAAGGTCGATGCCGGTGCTGCTGGACTTTCTCTGACATATGCGGTGACGTTCACCGACAACGTCCTTTGGCTCGTCCGGCTGTATTCTGAGGTCCAACAGAATATGAACTCGGTGGAGCGAGTCAAGGAGTACCTTGATGTGGAACAAGAGGCTGATGCTGTCATTGCCGACTCCAGACCGCCGGCTCAGTGGCCCAGTGGCGGCTCGGTTGAGTTTGCCAACTATACCACGCGGTACCGGTCGGACTTGGATCCTGTTCTTCGGAATGTTTCGTTCACGGTACAGCCTGG